TTTTATAACTGGAAGTTGGTACCTTTCACCCATTCCACCCACCCCGATGACGAGTGTCCTAAGATGTGCACCTGAAACTAATACAATGTTACATGTCAACTATGTCTCAACAAAACTGAGGGAAAGAAAGACAGGAGACCATATAGAGAAGGCCATGCAAAGACGGAGGTAGAGAATGGAGGAACGCGGCCACTGTCAGGGAACACCTGGGGTTACCAGCAGCTGGAGGAGGAAAGGAAGGGTCCTCCCTGAGACCCTTTGGAGGAAGCATGGGGCCCTGCCATCACCTTAATTTAGGATGTCTGGTCTCCAAACTGTGAGAGAATACATTTCTGTTGGTTTAAGCTACCAAGTTCATGGGGTTTGATATGGCAGCCCCAGGAAACATAGATGCACTTCAGAAATTTCTTTCTCTCATCATGGCCATTTAAGCTCCATGAGGAGATGCGCTGAGTCCCTCTTTTCAATGCTTGGCACATAGTGGGTGCTTAATATATATCAAATGATATATCAATACCAGTGGGAAATTGTACTGACTCTACATTTCAGTGGTAGGTGAATTGTTTCCCCAATAGTTTATGATGTCTATGAAGAGGTTCTATGTGAATGCAAATCTAATGTACAAGAATTAACTTGTTTTGCAAGGTCTGTGTCTTTATTAGAAGAATAGTAATACAGGTGAGTACTGGGCTGGGGAGAGAAGTCTTGGCAACTATTCTAACTTTCATCATGGCCTCAGGAGCCTCAGGCAAGAGGGTTCACTTCTGTGGCTCAGTTTCCCAAGCCATGAAAAGAAAATCCTGTCTCCTTTCTAACTACTAAGGAGGTTCATGGGGGATTGGACTGCACAGGGGGAGCCTGTAAAGTGCTCCAGCTTACTTTTTTTTTTTTTTTGATGTGGACCATTTTTGAAGTCTTTATTGGATTTGTTACAAGATTGCTTCTGTTTCATGTTTTAGTTTTTTGGCGTGAGGGATGTGGGATCTTAGCTCCCAAACCAGGGATTGAACCCTCACTCCCTACACTGGAAGGCAAAGTCTCAACCACTGGACCAAAAGGGAAGTCTCTCCAACCACTGGACCACCAGGGAAGTCCCTCCAGCTTACTTAAGAGAAGTATGATGTGGTTCTACATTATTTGATTTACTCTCTGGGAACAGTTTCAAGTTCTGTTTCTGTCTCACTTTCTATATCTGTATTCTTCAACCATTCAGCAAAGTGGAAGACAATAGCTGCCCAGTTAATAATCTTTTTTTTTTTACAGATGGAGAAATTTAAGGCAGAAGGGGGTTATATGTTCAGATCAGCAAAGTAATTCACCGAGAGAATTTCGAAAAGATTCTGTGAGTCCAGAACAAAATGATTTAGTGGAGCCATCTGTTCGCCAGCTGCAGAGATGGTTTGCTAAAGTGCAGTGTTGTTGGAACCATTTTGACTGTAGCACAAGTCAATCAGGATTCAGATAAGACCCAGATTAAGCACTCCAGTGAAGAGATGCTTCTTCATCATACAGGTGAGCAAATTTCATGACCTCTCTACAACTTCGGCATGTGTAAACTCAGGTTAAAAGAGGATAGAGAGTACTTGTGGTCTTTTAAGTCATGCAACTTAAGCAGTGACCACAAAGAAGATATATTGTCTGGACTGGGTGAAAGAGTTACACTGTATTTGTGAAGGTGACCAAGGATAAACAACACAACAAACCAGATCCAAGGCTCAGATACTTTTGGCTCATATCTAGGCAACAGAGTCATGCACTAATCTTATGATGCAACTTAACTCATATGGGTGGTGGGTGGTGAATGGGTGGAGAGATGCTCCTGCTGGAGATGAGACAAGAATGGCAGAATGTAGAGAGTTGTTAAAACTGGGTGATGGATATATGGGAATTCATTACACCATTCTGTTTACTTCATCTGTGTTTGAAATTTCCCCAAATAAGAAATGGCTTAGTACAGAACGTTGCTAACATTGCAAAAGGCTCAATATGGTCTTCCATGACTTACTGTCTTTGAGACAATCCATTGCTAGAATAAAAACTGCTGTCCTTCTACTATATTGTCTAAAGAGTACATGTGCTATTGAAAGAACCATTTATTCAGTAACTTTTAAACATTTTAATAAAACTTTGCTGCTTCCTGAATTTGAAAAAGGTTTTGAAATTATGTAATTAAGAGTGCATTATGAATTCAATAAAAGAATTCTTTTGTGGGATTAAATAAAAGACAAAATCAGAGAACAGCAAGTAAGCTTAGCTGCAATAAGTTATCCCACATGTCTTGGGAATACTTTTATTCTGAAATACAAAGTATTAGTCTGTTGATGGTTATATCAGCAACAGACCACATTTTCCTGAACCCTAATTGGTACAATTAATACACAATTGAAAGAAGGGTGTCATTATACAAAGTTTGAAACAAATAAAAAATTTCAATCACCCAATGTGTCTCTTTTATTGAAAAAGTATGATGTTGAAGCACAAAAATGCCTCTCAGGCTTCAGGGGGTTCCAATTTCAAGTATTTAGCAACTGTGAACTTGTGTGTACCCTATTTACTTCCTTTTTAAAAAAATGTTTTTCTTATTTTTCTCAATGTTATATTCCTTCTTAGTCTTCCAGAAGAAAGAACTCACTCAAACATTTATGGGGAGCTTTGTTTTAAGTTAGGCACAGAAAAAGACAGGTCATCCTCAAGAACTGCGGTGTTAAAATGGTCTCCAATACAATCTCTTGTTTTCTTTGCTTTTTCCTGGTCACTCTCCAGGAAACTGCATTAACTTTTGTGTGTGTGTGTGTGTGTGCTTTGCTTCTCAATATCTTTATTATCATGATCACAGCTTTATTGAGATATAATTCACATACAACTCACTCATTTAAGTTGTACAATTCAGTAGTTTTTAGTGTATTTACAGAGTTGGGCAACCATCACCACAGTAAATTTTAGAATATTTTCATTGTCCCCCCCACAGAAAGCCCTGGGCCCATTCACAAATCCCCCTAACCACCTCATCCCTAAGCAACTACTACTCTACTTTCTGTCTCTCTGGATTTGCCTCTTCTGGACATTTCATATGCGTGGACTCACATATGGCCTTTTGTAACTGGCTTCTTTCACTTAGCATCACGCTTTCAAGGTTCATTCACATTATGACAAGTATCAGTACTTCATTCCTATTTTAGTTAATTTTCCATCGTGTAGACCACATTTCATTTATCCGTCAAATAATGGACACTTGGGTTGTTTCCACTTTTTGACTATTATTGATTATGCTGCTATGAATGTTCATGTTATAAGGCTTTTTGGTGGACTGACTTGGGTTTTTATACCTAGAATTACTGGGTCATATGGTAATTGTGTTTAATATTTTGAAGAACTGCCAGTTTTCCAAAGCAGCTGCACCATTTTAGCATCCCACCAGCAATGTAATTAGAGTTCCAATGTCTCCAAATTCTTAACAGCATTTATTTATTTATTTATTTATTTATTTATTTATTTATTTATTTTCAGCAAATGCTAGGAATCAGACTTTTTTATTTTTTTGGTTTTTGTCATACATTGAAATGAATTAGCCATGGATTTACATGTATTCCCCATCCCGGTACATCCCGGTCCCCCCTCCCACCTCCCTCTCCACCCGATCCCTCTGGGTCTTCCCAGTGCACCAGGCCCGACCGAGCGCTTGTCTCATGCATCCAACCTGGGCTGGTGATCCCTTAACAGCATTTATTATCTTTTTTATTTTAGCCATCCTAGTGGGTGTGAAGTGGTATCTCATTGTGGTTTTAATTTGCATTTCCCTGACGGCTCATGATGTTAAGCATCTTTTCATGTGCTTAATGGTTAACTCTTCAGGTAGACCTGCCAGCTTCCTTTCTAAAGAGGGAGAAATAAGACTTTACAAAGTCATACCACCAGCAAGTTTTTATTGAGTTTCTTGTGCCTGGATCATTAGAAGAATTAATACTTTCTCCTCCATTAAGATTCAGCTGCTGCTTCCACATGGTGAATTAAAGTCTTTCTTTGCATTTTTCCAAAGAAGAAAATCCAGGACTATAGAAGCTACACTACATTATGTGAGCAGTGCTTTAAGTCAGAAAAATAAGCAAGTACACAACGAGTATTACTGCAGCCTAAGGAAGTGGGATGGCTTTATGTTTTAATCTGAAATAGTACATATAAGCAAATCTATTCAAAAGCAATAGGCTAGACTTAGGTCCCCATGAGAAGAATTGACATCTTTATATTTCTTTCTCTACTTAAATATTTAAGTACTGGTTAGAGTGGAGAAGAAGAAGTATAGGAAAACCTATGGAGTGTCATCAAGTCAGGCTGAAGAAATCAGTACTTTAATTTACAAACTAATTTTCTCGGTCCAAATAAAGTCAACTCCAAGGACTCACCTTAATTCTGTCACCGGTGCTAGGATTTGGTTATTTTGAACATCGCTCTAAAAGAGCAGTTGGGATTGAGAACCGTTGGTTCTTCAAGTGTTTTCAATAAAACCTTGTTTTTTAAGGCCGAGTCCTTGTGTGAGCAGCTGCCACTACTCAGTGGACGCTCCAGAGAGGAGACCTGAGGTCATTACCGAGTGTGAGAGGCTTGACCGTCTGAAGAGGAAATCCGAGGCCCTGCTTTGACCTTTATTGTAACAAAAACCTTCCAACCAAACCCGCTTTTTCAAATTTACCACGCCCCTTACCTCCCTCACCTCCCAGAGAACTTGACCACCCAGCCTTAAACCCAAATCTTTGCCCCACAGATTCTTCATGGGACGCTGACTCCGACTTCAGCGACCCAATGAAGAAAACCTCTGGGAGTCTGCCTACCGGCACCCCTCAGACCCGCCCATCTCCGCCTGCGCCGGAACGGATTCTTCCTTTCAGGGCTAGAGGCCCCGCCCCATTCCCGCCCCTCTATTGGCTTTGGTGACCGGCCCCCAGAGTGTCAGTTTCGGATTGGTCGACTCGGCTGCCACTCAAGGCGCGCAGCGGGCGTGACCACGCCCCTTACGTCTGGACGCTGGATCGCCTCGAAAGGCCTCGTAATCGCCGCCCAGAAGGAAGGAGGGCGGTAGTGCTAGAAGCTGCTATGGTGCTGAGTTCCCTGGCAGAGCCGACCCAGACGCGGCGGTCGCGGCCATGAAGGTGAGGGGCCGGTGGGGTCGGGCAGTCCGTCCTCGTCACTACTATTTGGCCAGGGCGCCTGAAGCGCCTTCTTTTCGCCTCAGCTGTTACCTCGCCGGCACCACGGAGAGCTCCGCGAAGACCTGGGGCGGCGGGGAGCGGGGGGAACCCCGACCGGCGTCTGGGGCCCTGACCCGCAGGGTGGGTGTCCTGGGCTGTCGGCCGTTCCCAGTTCCCACAACGGTTCGGTCAGCGAGGCCGAGGCCCGGCGCCCCCCGCCATCATGCTTGGCGGGCCCCTCTCGGCGCCGGGCCCTGTCCGCGTCCTTGGGGGCCGGAGGCAGACCCGCTGGTGCTCACCTCACCCTGTGTGCCTTTGCCCACAGCATGTCCTCTCCCGTCCCGAGTCCTTGAACGAACTCAAATGTCGGGAGCACCGCGGGACTGTCGCAGAAAGGCAACCACAGGACGAAGGGAAAAGGAGTGGTGCGGAGAGTCGTAAAGGCTCGGGCTAGGCTCCCTGTTAGAAATGCCTCGGGGCGGGGATCCCAGCCTGAAGGATCTGTTTACAGGCTTAACACTGGGGCCGTGACCCAGAGCGCTAGCAAACCCAATGTGTCTCCATCGCCGCTAGGTACGCAGCAAGTAATTTGACAGCTTGAGTCTCCAAGGTGGGTGTGAGAGCGTGGGAGCATCACTGAGTGAGAAGTTTAGGGGAAGCGGGGGGAGATTCTGGCCCACTTTTCGGAACTGATTCTCTCAACTCGATCGCTGAGAGTTCTAAAGAACTCTGGGTACAACAATCAATTCAAGTATTGATTCAAACAAAGTGGGGTGAGTCATAAGGTGATATCCTTTCAGACCTAGATGGTTTCTTTAAGTTCCGTGAAGAGGTGTGATTGACCGTGCGTTAAGAAAAATAACAGAGTGAACCGCTGGCTTAAAACTCTACTTTCACAAAGCCCCAAGGAAATATTTTGTTGAGCATTTCCCATATGTTAGCTCAGAGGGATGTATCATGCATAAAAGTAATTCACAATACAATCCCATCCTTTGGGAGTTTGCCAACCAAAAAAGAAGAGACATTCTCAAGAGACCACATTCTGAGGGAGAATTTTATGTAAGGTATCAAAAATGCAAAACCCTCAGGAGCAAGAAAGGATTTTCTCTGGCTATAGGAAGCAAGGAAGATTTTTGGAATAGGTAACTTCTGAACTGGATGTTAAGTATGAGTATATACAAAGAGCTTATTTTAACTTCCCATTTCAGGTATAAAATGTTTCAACTTTGAATTTACCTATTAAAATATCTAAAACTAGCTTTCTTTGCTGAAAACTGTCATCTTGCTGTGTTTTATTAATAAGATCCAAAAACAAAGCAGGACTCTTTATACATAACGCCTCAAAGAATGTTAGTATCTTTATTAGTATTAAATTTGTGACCCAGCAAGAAACAAGGTGTCAAAGGAGAGAGTGAGGGGCAAGTCCAGCATTGAAATCTTTTCAGCAGTGTTTTTGAATTTAGGTGGAAGATGCTGCTTTCTGAGTTGAAGTTTTAGAAACCAAATTGGATGGGATTTGGAAATGTAAAAAGACCTATATATTGTGAAACAAAGTACAAACCTAAGAGACCAGTCTGAACAAGACAATTATGACGATTCTGTTTTCCATTTAAGTTTCTGTGAAAATTGTATTCATAAAATTTAGGATTTGAGCTGTTTATTAACTTTGTTTCTCACTGGGATTAATTATGTGGTGTCATCTATAGATTTCTGGGCAGGGTCATTGATTCCTGATGTCATGAAATTCTAACATATGAATGTTCATCAAAGCAAGTACTTCTTTCACTGTAATTAAAATTGATTTAAAAGTCAAGCACTCAGATAAATACATCTTCACACAAACCCAGGAACAGGAGCTGATTTTAATATATGTGTAAAATGGGTATTTACTTTCCTCTAATTTTTTTGGGGGGGAGTCTAGAAAACGTTGTTTTGAAATAGGTTTATGTCTCAAAGATTCAAGTAACTGTTTTACCTTAGAGTAGTATCTAGTTAACTTCCTATAAGGGATTTTAAGAAAATACAAATTAGTATCATATGTTCAGTTCAGTCGCTCAGTTGTGTCCGGCTTTTTGTGACCCCATGGGTTGCAGCACGCCAGGCTTCATTGTCCATCACCAACTCCCATAGCTTGCTCACACTCATGTCCATTGAGTCGGTGATGCTATCCAACCGTCTCATCCTCTGTCATCCCCTTCTCCTGCCTTCAGCCTTTCCCAGCATCAGGGTCTTTTCATCAGGTGACCAAAGTATTGGAGCTTCAGCTTCAGCATCAGTCCTTCCAATGACTATTAAGGACTGATTTCCTTTAGGATTGACTGGTTTGATCTCCTTGATGCCCAAGGGACTTTCAAGAGTCTTCTCCAAACACCACAGTTCAAAAGCATCAATTCTTCGGCACTCAGCTTTCTTTATGGTCTAACTCTCACATCCATACATGACTACTGTAAAAACCTTAGCCTTGACTAAATGGACCTTTGGTGAATACTTAGAACACCCTATTTCTCAGTAAAGAATCTCCAGCAAGACTCCAGGGATAAGAGATGGCATCAGTCAGAACTCTTGAAATTATNCACTGTTTCCCCATCTATTTGCCATGAAGTGATGGGACCAGATGCCATGATCTTAGTTTTTTGACTGTTGAGTTTTAAACTGGCTTTTTCACTCTCCTCTTTCACTTTCATCAAGAGGCTCTTTAGTTCCTCTTTGCTTTCTGCCATAAGGGTGGTGTCATCTGCATATCTGAGGTTACTGATATTTTCCTCTGCAATCTTGATTTCAGCTTGTGCTTCATCCACCCTGGCATTTCTCATGATATACTCTGCATATAAGTTAAATAAGCAAGGTGACAGTATATAGCCTTGACGTACTCCTTTCCTAGCTTGGAACCAGTCCGTTCTTTCACGTCTGGTTGTAATTGTTGCTTCTTGACCTGCATACAGATTTCTCAGGAGGCAGGGAAGGTGGTCTGGTATTCCCATCTCTAAGAATTTTCCATAGTTTCTTGTGATCCACACAGTCAAGAGGCTTTGGCGTAGTCAGTGAAGCAGAAGATGTTTTTCTGGAACTCTCCTGCTTTTTTGATGATCCAACGGATGTTGGCAATTTGATCTCTGGTTCCTCTGCCTTTTCTAAATCCAGCTTGAACATCTGGAAGTTCTCTGTTCACGTACTGTTGAAGCCTAGCTTGGAGCATTTTGAGCATTGCTTTGCTGGTGTGTGTCTTATGTTAGTTTGATTTAATCCTCCTTCCTGTTTTTCCATATTTATATTGACTTCCCCCTTAATTGTACTAATAATGTTCATTGTTCCAAATTAAAAAATGAAACATGAAGAAGAAAGGAATCTGTTTAATGTAATCTCTTTTTTCCTTCTCTTTTCCCTGAAAGGTGGGGCAGTGGTGCTAAGGGTTAAGTATACTGTTTAAAAAAAGAAAACCCAAACAGGAAGAAGACAACATTTATGGTCTCCAGAACACATTATTGTAAAAATCAATCAATTTGGCCAATTGTCTTGCATAAAAATATTACATTTTTAAAACCAGCATTTGTTTTTGCAGCCTACTTAATGTCCATATGGTATGAGAGAAAGAACTTAGGATGCAGAATTTCCTCCTTTGTGGTATATGGCCTAATACTTGGTCATTAAGGTAGCAGAGTTGCTGGCATATTGTATTTCAGTTGAAGCACCAGTTTCAGTAAGAAATCCTTTGATGTTTTAAGGAACTGTGTTCCTCCAGTGGCTCTAAATAGGGTAAAGGTTTTTGCTTATTATCGTAACTGTTTCTTCTGGTTTACTTTAAGTTCTGTAGGCAAGTTTAACCTCATTAAAATTAAAACTGTAAAACTTACTCTTTTGTATCATGGGTACTGAGATTTGAAACACCTTTTCTTATTGTTTAACATAAGGACATTGAGTTTCAGCAAACTGAGGGTTGTTCAGAGTTTAAAGACAGAGTTTGTGGTGATTGAGTTCTCCGAAGAAGCTTCCACTAGTAGAACTGAATTCCTGCCTGGTCCTTATAACTTCTTACAGCATCCAAGAAAACTAGTGTTTCTAAAATGGAAACTTTTAGGTTTATCCTTAACTGTGTAAATTATTACCACATTTAGAGTTGAAGCAAACAATGCTTAGGAGGTGGCTTCATGATCACCTAGTTTAATCAAAAGCAAATGATTTAGACCATGATCATTTAGATCATTTAGCTTTCCTGGTAGCTCAGCTGATAAAGAATCCACCTGCAATGCAGGAGACCCTGGTTTGATTCCTGGGTCAGGAAGATCCCCCTGGAAAAGGGATAGGCTACCCACTCTAGTATTTTGGGGCTTCCCTGGTAGCTCAGACCATAAAGAATCTGCCTGCTATGTGGGAGACCTGGGTTTGATCCCTGGGTTGGGAAGATCCCCTGGAGGAGGGCATGGCAACCCACTCCAGTATTCTTGGCCTGGAGAATCCCAGGGACAGAGGAGCCTGGCAGGCTACAGTCCATGGGGTCGCAAAGAGTCGCACATGACTGAGCAAGTAAGCACAGCACCCATGATCATTTAGTTTTTTGCTGTTTTCAAACCCATTAACTCCCCTTGCTTCCCGATTTAGTCTTCATGGAAGTCAGTATAGCTTTTCTTATTTCTCATTCTAGTCTGCCTGGCTACTGTTACATTTGGTGGGCCCATTAAGAGGGATCACATCCTGATATAGTTTAGAAGAGCATTCAAAGTTTGTAGTAAACTTTTTGTTAATTCTCTCAGCTGAGCATTTTAGAAGTCTCCCCCGCCCTCAACCCCTAGCTATTCTAAAAAACACATTAGCACACACACAGAGACAGCTGAACCTTGAGTCACTCAACACACACACACCATACACACACACACATAGGCAACAGCTGAACCTTGAGCTGCTCAAAAACTCTGGCACTGTGCCAGAAAGAAGGCTGGGCTGCTGCTTTCCCAAAGAAACAACAC